CACACACACACACAGCTTAGTGTGTCTGAGCTGACTGCAGGATGACAGTAATGGATGTAAAACCCCCCAAAAAAAGCTGGTAAGTTAAACAGTGAAAAGAAGAGGCTGTTGAAGGAGGAGTGCTGAACACGCACATCTACAGAGATATTCAAAGTCTTCCATTTACTCCAACTCTCTAGCTACGACATCTCATTGTTCTGGAACCATATTGTGTCAGTGTGATGGAAACTGTCTGACCAAGACCAAATCGCTCTGCATTCATGGTGAAATAAAGTGGGATGGAGAGGAAAAGCGGAGGACAAGAGGAAGAGAGGAGTGGGGCGAGGGGGCAGTAAAAGGAAGGTGTAAACGACGGAGCGGAGTGTAGAACATGAAGAAAATATGGATTATATTTATTTTCCACTGTTTGTTTGTCATGTTGTCAGAGCAGTGGATATTTGCAGTGACACGTGCATCATGATTGAATCGATAAAGATGAGGGGAAAGAGAAACTGAGTTTAAATTTATCTACAGTCAAAATTGCCGCCTCATATTTTATGTCAGTCTAGTCTGAATCAGCTGATCAACCTGTTCCCTTAACTTCCTCACTGAGCAGACTGACTTCAACATCTTGCCAACAGCCATCAGCCTCTGATTGCAATTTGTTTCCAAACAGGAAGAGCATGTTCAGTATCAGGCCTCTGTCCTGTTCGCAGGCCAAGGCGGCTGTTAGTACTATACAATTATCGTCAGTCTCCGGAAGCACTGGCGCTCTCTGACTAAAAAGTTAAAATATTTTTGGTTTATTTTCATCATCCGGCCACTGTAATCAAAGCTGAATTCTCAGACTGCGAGTCTCAGCGCCGACAGAAACTTAGCGGCTCAACCTTTTTCCCTGGAACCACAGGAAAACTAAATCAGCGTCCTGCTTTCAACACAGTCAAACTGCAAATAACATCATGTCCTTCACTACTTCTTTCTCTACGCTAAGTTTTTTTCTCTTTCTCTCTTTATACAAAGACATAAACAATCACCACCATGACATGTTCAATATAAGTGCTCTGTGCTTCTGGTCCTTTGGAGAGTAACAGCACAGTGCTTCGAAAATAAATCAACTTAAAAGGAGGAAAGAGGTCACAGGGAGGAAACAGAAGACGGATCGTAAGAGAAATATGGAGAGGCAGACCGGGGCAGATATTGAGAGGTGGCGTGAGGACAAGGATGGAGAGGGGAGGAAGAAGAGGGAGGAGTGGAGGGGGAAAAGGAAAGAGTTAGGAGGAGAAGGGAAGTGCGATACTGAGGAGAGATGCTGGAGACAAAAGGAGGAAAGTCTGGGAAAAGTACACCTCAGTTTGTAGAAATCATTTAGGAATGGTTTATGATAAAGTGATGGATTAAACAGGAAACAAAAGAAAGTATGGAACAGCTAAAACACCCTCCTCCTTTCTCCTCCACCTTTCTATCCATCTCCATAAAAACAGATTGCTGAGCCTGTTACACAAGTGTTTCTGACAGTTATTCACACTGACACACACACACACTTGAACAGTCGTACCCTTCAAATGCCGTCTAGACTCACTGCACCAAACATAGCACAACATGTGTTACACACTGTTTGTATTCACAGCCTGCATTCAGGTGCAGTCCCTGATTAAAACAAAGAATATTTTGTTTTAATTACCTCCTCAGAAAAGTCCGACGGAGCAAAGCTTTCTTTGGTGAACGAAAAAAGGGCAATGACAAATTATCAAATATTATCATATCGATAGATCCATCCATCCATTATCTATACCGTTAATCCTTTGAGGGTTGCAGAGGGCCTGGAGCCAATCACAGCTGACATTGCCTGAGAGGCGGGTACAACCTGGACAGATCACCAGCGTATCACAGCAAACAACCATTCACACCTACGGTCAATAAGTCTCCAATCAATCAGATCCAATCTGCTTGTCTTTGAACATGCAAACTCAATACAGAAGTCTCCCGGCTGAACCAGGAATCAATCTGGGACATTGCTAACCACTACACCACCGTGCCACCCCATCATAATTCATTAATTCATTAATTTACTTCCAGTACCTGTTATAAAGTAGAAGCACTGTTGCCTTTCTGTTGACTGAATCCATTCATTTGTTTTAACAACGTTTTGTTTGTTATCGCAGGACCGGAAGAAAATGTAGTGTCCTGGGGCCCTGTCTTAAAAACACATTTGTTTCATACATAGACTAAAGATATATATATGTATATGCAATATTTGGAAAATATGTAATGGAAGTGATTATTTGATGCTGAATATTAATAAAAAATACATTAGAAAAGCTCTCAACTGTTGCAGCACGTTTAACAACTGTAGAAAAATAACAGTTAAATAAATAGTCTCAACTTCCTTAAGCCCAGTCCAAAACATATTCAGTTCAGATTATAGCAAAAAAACGAATTAATACAAAAATCACAACCAGCGATAACACGTCCAATCAACAGAGACAAGAGAGAAATACATGAAGCCTGGGAGAGATGTGTGTGGTGTGTGTTGTCCTGCGCTTGGCTGGCTGCCATGTGAAGTAGCGTCTGATGCCGACTCCATTAACATAGCGATGATCTCATCTCAGTGGAGAGCCACATAACGCTCACATCACAAACAACGCACAGCGTTTCTCTCATGCTCTCACTCAGAAGGCATGTGTGTTAGTGTGTGTGTGTGTGTGTTAGTATGTGTGCGTGGTGCAGGCATTGTGTGTGTGCAACAATGACACTGTGACAGAGACAAACTGAGAGGGTGTAATTGCCTCATCCGGAGCTGCTGGGCTACAACAAAGCTTCGCGCGGCTGCTGCTTCAAAATGTGCGAGTGCGTTTTGTAACTGTTTTTCATTATCAGTCCTCGTGGGCTGTGTAGAGAGCACGCTGGCTCACTGAGGAAAACGCGCGCACACGCACACGCACACGCACACACACACACACACACACACACACACACACACACACACACACACACACACACACNCACACACACACACACACACACACACACACACACACACACACACTGAGACCTGCAGTGCAAACAACATTGATAGTGACGAAAATCCCAGCAAATACTGTCCCTGTCTCAAGGCAGAGTTTAAGAGGGATTCAAAATATAGGCCGGCTTTACTCAAGTGTGTTTATTCAATGTGCAGTAAACTGTAGTGTACTCACCGCTTTCTTTTAAAAGGGGACTTTGGTATATCAGCCAAAGGTATCATCTGTTCGCCGGGTCTGACCCACATTATGGGGCCGTCGTCGCTCTCTTTGGGACTCATCAGCCGCAGACTGGACAATGTTCCCCATGGAAGGGTCCTCTACAGCCACACGGATGAGATAGAAGAGAGGGGAACATGAGACACAGGAAATATAATCAAAGCAGCCTGTTGGTACATCGTTCACTTTTTAGATTGTTAAAAACCAGTTTATACCAGTAACATTTTATCTATTCCACAGATTATTCCCAAAAAATAAATCTCAAGAGCAGAAACAGCCCCCTGGCAGCTCGTCACTGGCAGCCGAGATCAACCAAATCAGAGCCAAAACTCTAGATAGATAGGAAGCGCCAGAGGATGTTGTGTCTTTTGATATTTGGCGTAAGACAGCGCTCCTCCACGCTGCGTGCAGGAGATTTAAAGTTTCACCACAGAAGAGAACAACAGCAGAAAGGCACGCCTGCCTTTGAAGGACAGCAGTAAACACAGTGCTGTGAAGGTCGGTTCCTGCACAGACGTTTTTTTAAAAGAGAAGAAACTTTCTGGAGCTGCATCGAAATCCCTCCGACGCACCACTTAACGCCTCTTGTTTGCCAGCCGGCGCTGACAATATTAGGTGTGTTGATGTTTGTGTCTTTCAGATTCTCTCCATCTGTTGAGTTTGTGTCGTTTCCAAATAATCACGGGTTTAAATGCACGGAAAGATTTGGGCACAGTATTGAGTCTTTGAGTATATGAGGTCTGAAAGAGTCGATTGTGAAAGGAATAACTAAAGCCTACTTTATATTTCAGCAAAAGAAGGAGTTTGATACAGTATCGACCAACTGAACAAAGTATCATATAATCCCTTTGCAGAGAGGAACTCAGAAAAATTGGGTTCGGACATTTTCCAGAGTTTGCCTTTTACATCTCAAGCAGGAGATTTTGTCCTAGTCAAACAAAACAACTGAAAAACGTAAAGGATCTTGTGTTTTTGTTTGTACAGCACATCAATACTGGTTTCTGCCTTTATAGCAAAATCTCTCATATCTTGTCTTTCTGAGTGATCTTCATCAGCATCTTCTATATGTATGACACAGTCTTCATCCAGTTTTGTATCTGTAGCATGATAGACACGTCCTCAACATGTGCACTTGCTCGCTGTGAATTTCCCTGCTGTATCCTTGCATGGACACGTTTTTACCTGGCAAACACTTCATTGATGCAAAACTAATGGTTTTAATGAACTGTTTTGATGAGCTGTATTTTTTTTTTTTTTGTTATTATATATAAATCTCATATGTCTCGAATCAAAATGTGTGTTTTCTATTAAAAAGCACTGTCTTTGTATCTAAAACCTGATACTGAGCTCTAAAACACTTCGATGACCACACTATGGCACTGGGTGACATATTGTTCCATTACCATGACCACTGTAGATCCGACCTACACCCTTCTGCTGTCCTAAATATACTAGACCATTTTATGTAAAACCTGTGACAAACAGTTTCAGGATTTAATTCAGCCTTTCCTTTTAAAAATTTAAACAAGATACTCATGAGAAGAATTTCCTTTGACCTCTCAGCACAGAAAGAAAATTATGAATTGTAGCTTCCTCACTTAATAATATTCAAATAATGTATTTTATATTTTGAAAATTACACCGTTTGTTCATACACTGGAATAGTCAGAATACCTCTGTCCCTGCTCCACTCATCATCCCTCCACACGTTCCGCTGCTGTTTAGGATTACTGCCATTCATCCTGTCCTGACTCACCTTCAGGAAGGGCGACTCCTCCAGCATGCTGAGGAATTCTGGGAAATAATTCCCGACCTCCTCGTCCACAGCTCCCACCAGGCTGATCTGCCTCATGGCCCCGGCTCTGTATGTACCGTGACTGTACGTCTTCTTCACCTGCAGCAACAAGAGGAAAAATACAGACCGGTATTTGAATCTTTTCTAACGCTGCAGGAAGCAGGTGTTTCGTTCTTGACAGAAATACATACACATAGTAATGTGTTTTTAAAGAGGAGCTGGTGAACACAAACACAGCAGCAATCTTTTCATATCACATCCTGACTGACATTTAAAATTCACTTTTCTATTGAAGAGCTCACAAACACAGAGATATTACAACATCGTATACAGTGCGTTATTGTGAATCGTTTTACCCAGGAACAAAATACCTTTAAAAACCTTTTGCAGTGTGACAGTCTCCTCTACTGTTTCACTACAGCTCTTCTCCTTCTCTAAATGTAAACTGTCTTCAAAGTATTATGGGTATTATGGTTAGTTGCAGCCCCTTCAGCAAGGTCATTATGGAGCCTCATTCCCTTCACTGTAGCACCACAATCTGTCCCCTTATTACATCTGGGACGTCTCAGTGATAATCAAATTATAATCAAGGATTTTGTCAATGTTCTTCTAGGCCGGGGTTTCCACTCTTGACCAGCACCAAGGATGTTAGGTTTGTTAGGTCTTTGCCTTTTTTTTAGTCAGCAAAATAAAAGTAAAGTAAAATCACTCAACTGTGACACACCCAGGACATGGTGACCAGCAGATGTGTCTCTGAGGTTAAGTATGAGATGTGATCTGATAAAATAAGATTTGATGGACACCTGTCCTGAGGCACCTGTTCTTCTTCTTTTTTAACATCTTCTGATTATATGTGCATGTTTCTTAATTCATCAGGTTCTATGAGGCTCATAACATATACAATATTTCTATCAATATACTCTTCACCAACAGGTAACAATGTAAAATGTTTTGATTTGTGTATTCATTATTGTCAGAATAGACACTGAGTGAGTGTTGGCAGTTTCACTTGATGTCTCTGCTCCTCCAGTGTGACTCGAAAGTCTGTTTGCTGCTCTTCACTTGGCTGACAGAGCGTTGCATTTAAATGTGTGTGTGTGTGTGTGTGTGTGTGTGTGCTTCTAACCGGTCTCTTACGCCCTTAGCCATCAACAGTGTCTTTGTGTTGGCGTGCGTGTGCAGTGCGTGCAGCATGTGGCCTGCATGCTGTACTCTTGGCTGGACAGGATGTGTGTGTGTGTGTGTG